TATTGGCAATCAGAGAGGATTTTATGTTTGTCAATAAATGTATCTAATCTGTTATTAAAGAGTTTTTCCAGAATTTTTGACAATTGTGACAACAGAGAAACCGGTCTATAATTTGTGAAGTTGTGCTTATCACCAGATTTATACAATGGAATAACCTTTGCTATTTTCATATTATTGGGGAACTGCCCAAGTCGAAACGACATGTTAAAAATATGGGTTAATGGTTTGCATATCCCCTCAATTACCCATTTCACAGTTGTCATAGTGATACCATCACTATCACTAGATGTTTTGTTACCACATTTATTCACTATCTCTATAATTTCCTTTTCAGTCAAGCTAACTTTAGCTTTAGCTGGAGAAAAACACAAAACTGAACAACGACATTGACTCCGTATTTCTGCTTACCTTTTCTAACCTCCATTCCGCCTCTCCTCTCTTCTCCGAGGCAATGGCTTCACATCGAGACAATAATCTTACAAAATTAATTTCTAATCTAGAAGCCATGTTTGAAACTGAGAAACCGTCGCAGCAATATGACGTAATGAACTCAGGCGGGGCCACGTCAGTAGCCTTTTCTTCTCTTTCTGTGGTGGCCACGTGAAACTTTGATTATGCCCGCCGAAATATTAGCCATTATGATAAAGAATTGTAAAGAAATTAATCAGCTAAATGTAATGGGATGTCCATTAGTTGTAAGTCAACTTGCGGATGATACAACTTTATTTCTAAGAAGCCGGAAGTCAGAGAGAAAGCTAACTTTGAAGAAATTAAAAAAAAAAAATCTATTATAAATATATGGTTAAAAAGGGACCTATCCAAATTTGGAAGGGTCCTCCTAGCAAAAATGGAAAATCTCTCTAGAATAATTTATCCAGCATATTCCCTACATATACCTGATAATATAATCAAAATCATTAATCAAAACAACTTTAACTTCATTTGGAAGAACAAGCATCATTATATAAGGAAGAATGATATTAAATCACTGGAAGATGGCGGTCTGAATGCTATTGACTTTGTCACACAGTATAGATACCGGATTTCATCAAACTCGATTTGACAGTTCTAGGTGAAAGGTTATCCAATCAGAAGCTTTGTCCCAAAGCTTTGGATCAAAGCCATTGTAGAAACTGATGTCACCTATCGAGATGTCAGGGACGTCTCTAGAACGGTTGCTTGTGCGCATTGCGCGGCAATGGTTCCCACGTCGGTCTTTGAAGATGGAGATTACGTTTGTCCATCAGATGGGAGGGATCCAAGATGGTGCCTTAAAGCACGTTGAAACCGAGCACCTTTCATCGAAATCTTTAAACAATGGTCAAACTAGTGATGTCCAATTGACACCATGACACCTGTATCGAACCGCTTCCATCATTTGTATCGAGTATTGGTTTATTCATTCAAAGGTTCAGTTTAGTGCCATCTGGTGGCGAAATAGTATGCAGCAGGACAATGGGAATTATGTAATGGGTGTAACTAGGCTTTGTGTTGTTGTACCCGGTACTTTTTACCATACGGACTCTGAGAGACGAGGCAGCCCAAGTAACTACAAAACAGTGCTGATTTATTCCATGAACACAGGTAAAATTAACATTACACGCTCATTCAGGCTATTCCACAAACTATTGAGAACATACTGAGAAAAATAATAACTGCTACTGCAGTATATTTACAGTTTTATCTGTTTCCATGACTTTGAATCATGCTGACCAGTCCATCTGTCAATCATTGTTTCAAGACAGTGCTGATTTTCATTACTCACATCAGCAGTGTTTGACTTCTCATGAACCTCCTGTGAAACAAACTAGCTGAGTTTTTTTTTTCACACTCTTATCTTACCACCATGCTCAGTACTATATGTATTAGTGTCAGTACCTTGTTAGATGTACATGTGGCAAACGAGGTTTCCTCCTGCAAAGATGTTTCTGATTTCACCGCTGTCTGAAATGATAAGCAACGTGTAAAAATGGCATCTCTTTTCATACATCTGTTCACTCACTAGTTCACTCGAGTGTATGTGAATGTGTCATTTGGCTTCCCTGTTTGTTTAGCTTTCCTGTTCTATTGGGATAATGTTAGTTAATTTTGTACTTGCTCAGTCTTTGTACTGTTCAATATTTGTATTAGACTTTGTAATTGCTTGTCTGTTTGGTTTGACTTAATAAAAGGGGGAAAAAACTTGAAACTTTGAGCCACTTATTTTGTTATTGTGACCACACCCATACATTTTGGAAAGATGTCTGCTGACTCATATGTAATAATTTATCTGATTTCAAACTCAAATTTGGGAATTTAGTTTTTGGTGTTTATGGTCATTGTATGTGGGCATTTACATGGAGAACAACAATTTTTAATTAACTGAATTGTCAAAGGCAAATATTTTCTGCACAAATGCAAATTTGAAAAAACAAACTAATAAACAAAAAACTAGACAAATCCTGCTTCCTATCTTTTTTGTAATTACATGGACTTCTACATAAAGACTATCTCCTCTTCTAACAATGTATAAGCTTTTAAACATAATCTCTTTATTAGGAATATGTAGCTTTCCCTTTATTTTTTCATTTTATTTTATTATAGTTTTACCCCAGGCACTATTCTGTTGTTTTCAATATATTATATGTTTATTCTGTAAAATAAAGTTTAAAAAAAAAATTAGGCTCTTCTAAATATACCATGGACATATTACCACAAAGCCACTGTATAATCGGTCAAATAACTACATCATCTGACATGTAGTGGAGCAAAAGTATAGTGTAGTATAAAATGTAATTCTCAGTTTGCCTCTCCCAATATAGTACTTAAGTACAGTACTTTAGTAAATGTAGGTTTACATAATAATTTTCCAACACTGGGAACAGGGAAAAATGGGAGAATTACATTGTACAGATTAGTTGTTTCTTACCATTGATCTGAAATAAATGCCATATAATCTGTCACATCATCATACTCGAATAAAGGGGACAAAACTTTAAACTCAATTTTAATTTGGCTATCTTGGTTGAGAGAGTCTCAGCAATATGTAAATCAAGTACTGTATAAACCATAAGATATAATCTCTTACCTTCAGGTTTCCGCATTACTTCCTAAAAAAAACAACCAGTATTTACACAACAACCCATTTATCCTCAAATTCTCATTTGTTTAATCCTTCTCAAAATTTGTGAATTTTTTGTAAAGGTATATTTATTTTCTCTTGAGTTAAATGGTTTTCCTACAACCTTGCTAAAACAGCTAAACTAATGGTGGTCTAAGACTTTTGCACAGTACTGTATATACTCTGAAGGTATAAATGGTGAACTGCTTTTTAATTAAATACTAGTACAAAAAATATAGTGATGTTTAATAGGTGTATCTGTTACTCCTTTTTGGAAGAGACATATGCAGATGACCTTATTGTCTATTGCTTCTATAAAAAACCTGCATATTCTTCCCTTAACTTCTTCATCACCTACTGTATGGAACACTGTTTGGTGCTCCAACTGAGCACTGAGAAATGTTATGACCTTGTATGATTAAAACACACAGCAGCAGATGTTACAAGCATCATGTTCTGTATTGTGTTGTTAACACTAATAACCATTACATTTCACGTCATTCAGTCCCAGTCATACACTGTGCTAAACATCCTCCTCATAATACAGACAAACTAGCAGACATCATTCAACAGCAGAGAGGAACATTAGTATTACATCCCATACAATGTTGACCATCGCTGTGCTTCAGCAAACCTGTTCATTAAAGGACTGTCCATAGCTGAATTTATTTTAAAAAAGTGTAATGTGAGTTCAAGGACTTTGAGATTAAAAGACAGTGGCACACCTGCTGCATCTTGCCTGAGTTTATTATTTCATTGTTCCAAAGGAAAAAGTGGCATGTGATACTCCCATTTCCCCTCGGTGACTATCTATCTGATGTTTGTCGTGCAGCAGAAAGGTGACGGTGAATAGATTCCTGTCCTTTGACTGACAGCCACAATGTGCATGTTTAGGTCCTTGCTTTGAGCACATCTTGTACATCAGAGCATATTATTTCAGTACAATAAACACAAAAATCTGACACAACGGTACTCTCTTTATCTCAAATAACCCTCCCTCCCTCTATGAGGACTGTTCCATAATAACATGAGAAATGTTTGAGCAACTTACTGTACATTATCAAGGCACTAGCTAACATTTAAGTGAGAATGTTTTGCTCTTCAGGAGAACAAGAAAATGAAAAGTGCGAATGGAATCTATATTATTTCTTTGAATTAGCGCTGATGAGTTAAAAAAACACAAGAAAGAAAAAAGAACTGCTGGTCCATTATTATAAGGCTGCAGAAAAATCAAGCTCCGGTCCCAGCGTATATTAAAATGAAAAGGTGCTTGGCGGCATCTTTTCCAGTTACTCTTACTGTCATTAGGACAACTACACTTTAGACACATTTGCAGGTCCTTGATGAGTTTTCCCCTGATATCAACAACTGAACAGCCTCCACTCCACTCATCACATTCAATAATTCACACAGACAGGTTATGCTCCTTTATGTGATTCTTGACTCTTATCCTCTCCTGGCTTTCTACAGTCCATCACTCTCATCTGTGGCAACTCTGTAAGCCATTTATATGCATTTCCTTCAGTCTGCTCAGAGGCTGTTGCCCTCAATCCTCTTCTCCATCCTTGCTGTCCTGTCCTTGTCAGACGTCCTCATCCATGTAAGGTATGTCTGGGTCAGAAAAACGTCTCTGGCCCTTTGAGGCTTGTGTCTCGTGGTGCTGGCTCTGAGGAGAACATGCTGCCATAGAGATGGTGGAGGAAGAAGAGTAAGTGGAGGGAGGGGAGGAGGAAAAATGCAACAGCAGATCACAGTCTGGGTTGTCAATGTACAGGGACTGGGTGCTGCCTTTCCGGCGGCCCGGCTGCTCTCTTCTCCCAGGCAAGTATTTAAATGCTCGATTTCTAGGAGGAGTGAAAGTCTGAGCCGGACCCAGGGCCGCAGGCTGGGAGAGGATGCCCAGGGGGAGTTTAATTGTGTCTGGGATGATAGGATTGCGGCGTTGCAGTGGGTGTCTGGTTGAAGAAGCGCAGCTGGATATAGAGGAAGTGGAGCTAGCAGGCTTGAGGTTTGGCAGAGAGCTGCGACCACTGGCATCTTTGGGTTGCGGGGCCAGTTCAGTTGTGAGGCAAACTGGCTTGCATCTCCTTAGCTGGGAGTCGCCTCGTCCTGGAAGAAAAGGAGGAAAAGATAAGATGTAACAATAAACATATTTTTCCTGAGAGTTACACACAGCAATTGTGAGACCAGTAGAAGATCATGCAACCATGTTATCTACCAATCATGTCCAATAAGCTTCAATTAGGCAAACACTTTGTTTGATGTGCTGTCCCTAATGTTCAGTTCATTCATTAGGATTATGTTTGAGCATACTTCTGTGCCACACAAGTATTTACATGCATACATGTGTGTGCAGACGTATGCACGCAAACACACACACAAACACACAAACACGGCTGCTGTTCCTCCGACCTGCTTTGTTATAGAGCAGACGTCCCTGCCCCAATCACCATCACTGGTCCAGACCTGCACCACAAAACACAGGAAGGGCCCAAGCCAGCGGCCCCATGGTCTGGTCAGACACCCACAGGTGAGTGAGAGAATCAGGCAGAAGGAAAGAAAATCCACACTGTACCTTAATACTGACCTTCAGGCTCAGAGCTGTGGGCAGAAGAGCGCTGCTGCTCATCCAAAAGACTCTCAGAGCTCAGAGAGGTTTCGGAGTCCAGGTTTTCCTGGTCTGAACCAGGCTGCTCCATCTCTGGCAGCCGACACGCCAGATCCTCTCTGCAGAGGAACAGATACGGATGTCAGAGAAATGAGAGAGTGAGACAGATACAGAAATAACAGTGACAGAGCTTCTTTACTTCTCTTGTTTGATGGACTTGATGCGCTCCACCAGGTTCTTCTCCGCCTCTGTGTCTGAGTCCTGAGGCTCGTCCTCAGGGACCACACTGAGATCAGAACTGGCCTTTTCATGCACCTGCACAAGACAAAACAGCACATACTGACACCTCAGACCACTCAACCTGAAACAGTCTATTATGGAACTATTATACACATATAATATGTATGTAATAAACAAACATAAGATAGCCACAACATACACATGGCTTTGACCCCAATCTGAAACAGATTCCAAAATTTGTTAGTGAGAAGAGCAGGGTGGGTGGTGCCTGTGGTTTTCATGCATCTACTCATAATTCTTACACCCCATTTGTTAGCTAAAATAAATGACATGAGACATTAAAATAGCAAACACCTTTGTCCGTTCAAAAACAACAATGGTGTGAGGTTGTGTGTTCATAGCTATGACAAAAGGTTAGAAGACATCACCACACTGCAGAATTGTCTAATCATTCGACAGCCGATAAATAAGATGACCTTCAGAGCTCAGTGGCTTTCTTGCACTAATATGTAAATACATTAGGAAGACACCGAAACAGCGAAAAGACAGTTATGCATCATTACCATCAAGCTTTGCAAGTTAGGTCCCTGTCTCCAAAGAGATCAAATACAACTCCAACCCAGAACCATCTTGTTCTCTCATAAGGACAAGAATGATGGCAAACACCAAATCCTTCACATCACAAGCAGGATCTAAACCAACAGCAACATGCACTCTACTACCAGTTAGTATGGAAGAGTTAAATAAAGTATTAAAGAAAGGTGTGGGGGGGAAACGATGACAACACACAGCCAAAAGTCACCCACATCTGACATGCCATGCACAGGTGCTTCTACATGGCACACTGCTACACACTACAGCTACTGTACCAGGAGAACTCAGTGATACATACCACCACTCCTTTGTAAGGAGCTGAGAACCTGAGAGGTAAATGCCAGTAGTGCTACAGAGAGACAAGGAACATTGACCATGTTACCCCTGTAACCTGAGTACAACAGTAAGTGGTACTGGTGATGGTGGATGATTTTAACATGCAAGATAATGTTACTAACTAGTCGAGGAGGCTTGTATACATAATAAATGACTTAAATATGGCTTTATATAATGCTTATATTTTAAATCCAGGCATGAAGCTGAGCAGCGATCTCAAAATGTTTGTTGTTAACTGCTCCCTAAACTGAACAAAGGTGATCCTGTTTTGTTCCTCACCGTGTTTTGTCTCTTGAGTTTGAGCTGGTTAACAGCCAGAGCCTCAGCGTACTCCAGCTGCTCGATCTCCTCCATCTTCTCATTGTAGCGCCTGATCTGTTCATTGACAAGCATCTCTACACACCTATAGAGGGAGGAGAGAGCGGGATGCCAAACAGTGTGAGCACGTATGCTAATTTAAAGCTATTTGCACATTAATATGAACAGGGGACAACACAAGGAGGACATTTTAATCCTGGAAAAGCAGATGCTGTTCTTTTTTTGCTTTGTCTTACGTGGTGGTCTTGGCAACATCCTTCATGCTGAGCAGTGGGTCAGCGCTGTCCGGGCAGCGCAGGATACACGGTGCAAACACTATGGCCAACGAGTTAGAAGACATGCGGTTGTGCTCCTCCTCTTTACACACCCTGCAAGAGAATGGTTAGAAACAAAGGATCTAGTTAAACAGCATGCATACTGAGCTTAGAGAGCATCTAGTTTATATTGCAATACTGAGGTGAATTTAATCTGTTTGCACAAAAATGTAATATGGAATTTTGTCAGTGCAATATTTGGATTTCATTTATTTGAGAACAATGGGCTTTGATAAAAACATGTAATGCCCATTTTAAAATAGGTATGTAAAATCCCTACCTGACAAGGTGGAAGATGAGTCTCTCCAATGTGTTGAAGTTTGCTGCAGGAAGCTCCTCCAGAACTTTGTAGATGGCGTGAAGCTGTTCCTGCTTCTCTGGCAATTCTACCAAGAGGAAAGAGCCCATAATAAACCAAAAATGCTGAATAATTATGAGAATAAGTAGTCTGTTATATTTTTAAAGATATCTATTTCATTTTTAATAATATGCTATCAACCTTTCCACCTTAAATACCAAATTGTAGCCTCAACTAACCACTAGCAACAAATAACACTCAAACATTTTAAAGTGCCTGCAAAGGACACACAGAAAAGGGATGACCAGTAAACGCTTTCCAGTGTAAAATGCTGCCCCCTGGTGGGGAGTGTCCTCCTCACCCACAGCATGCAGGAAGTCACTGTAATGTGCAAATGTCATGAGTGGGTCTGGCAGCTCCCTCAACCACTGCTTCACCAAGCCCGTCACTGTGTGGATGGGGTAGTCTTCAAGGCAGACCAGGTGGGGGTCTAAACACATCAATGCCACATCAATACCAAATCACTGATGGTGACATGACAAGAGTTTTTACCTGAACATTAAAAAAAGACCAGTTTTACTGAGCTGTTAACATTATGTAGAGGGGCTCTAACCAGTCTCTAGTCGCTGGTGCAGCTCCTTCATGCGGTTGGCAGAGCCAGACTTGCGGTAGATGCCCTCAGTATAAAGGCCATTCATCTCCACATGTTCCAGCATCATCTCTAGCACCATGGGTACGGGGTTCTTATCGCTGACCAGGTGACACACGGGCACGCTGAAATGCTGACCGCTGGAGTCCTCGTCACTCTGTGGATTCAGCAGACAGAAAGAAGTTTACTCATTACAGGTGTAACATCCATGCAAATCACAGTCTTCTCTACATTAAAGTTCACTATCTGATACTGAAATATAGCTTCAAAAGATCAAAAACACATTACAAGGTGAGACCTGCTCAGTAATTCTGTGTTAGATTTCATGTTGAGTCTTTGTTTTGATAAAATTCCTTTCCCCAGAGTTGCATACTACTGCATAATACTTCAGCATAGATTATCAACAAACAATACAGGGAGCAGAGATCCTGCTGGATTTCTCAAGTAGCTTTGTTCCTCTAGCCTTCCTTGATCAATTTAATTTGTCATAGAGAATCAACTTCCTCCGACCCCTCGAAAATTTGAAATCTATGTCTGCCCGCATTCTAAGCCACAAATATTTAGTAAAATATTTTGTTGGTGCTCAACAACTGCTGTAAAAAAAGGGTTTGAATACATTTTACTAGCCTGTACACTAATAGTTACAAATTTATTTATAAACAGGAAAACTCTACATATCATGTTCTATGTTAAAAAAGACAGGGATTGTACATAAGAATATAGACTGTCACAACCGCCCCCAAACGATCACATACTGTAGTACAAGCACATTAATTCAGGCCTGTGCTTTCTAAAAATGAAGCCATACCTTTTTGGCACAGAAGGTGTAGCAATCGGTGACTATTTTGTAGATGCACTTCTTGTGGCATACCATTTTACAATCTGGGATGATAAAAAAAAAAAATTAATGTAATGATATATAGATTTAATGTCAGGAAACAGGGTTTTGCTGCAGTGCTAACTTACTGCTGCACATGTAGGCTTTCTCCATGCCCCAAATGTAAGAATTACACTGGTCACATGACTGCATGATGTTGACCTGATAGTTGTCGAAAACATGATCCAAGATGCTCTGCAGCTAACAAAACAGACAGTCACCCAGTTAGAAGCCATAGTCATTACTGAATGAAAATGACTATTGTGGAAAAACATGAGGCAAAGATTTTCAAACCCTGCACACTTACCCTTTCATTTTTTTTCCTCCTCTTCTTCCTCGCTTTAGCAGGCTGGAGAACAAAGAGCACAAGTGTGAATACACCATAGTCATATTTGGACTGATAAGACTGAATGATGACAGTCAGTGTGTTTCACCTTTGCAGGTTCAGCCTCTTCCTTCTTCATCTCTCCTCTGATGAAGCCATCCAACACTGACTGGAACAGGTTAACCACGAGCTGGACTTCTCCTTTCTGCTTGTCGCCTGCCAGGTGGATCACTTTGTTCTGGTAGCCTGTCATCAGACCTTTGTAGCCAATGATGGGTTTCTGGTAAAAGGGAACAAGAGAGAAAAAGAAGAATAGAGGACAATGAGGAACAACTTTGGTCAGAATGCATTATGTGTATTTACAGTATCTGCCTGAAGATAGACTTACTGGGAGGGAATACATGGCTTTTATATTCTCTCTGAACTGCATGGTGGCCGTTACAAAAATGGCCTCTGTAGCTGACAGTGACTTCCCCCTGGAGCGGAAATCGTTGACCTCAAGAGGAACACAGACACAACACATTGTTGTGGATGAATCAGATGAACTTATTTCCTACAATTAGTAAACCTCTAGTCGTCTTTCATTTACCTGGTTACCCAGAAACTCATCAAGGTGCCGCAACTCATTGGCGTTAGTGATTTCCCGATCCAGTGAAGCGTTCCACTGCTCTGAGACCCGTGTGGCACGACTAATCTTTATGGAAGGGTTACGGCCTAAACTTTTACCAGCACGGTCACCGTGCGGCTGGGACACAGGCCGTGATGGATGTCCAGAGGTTGGGGCTGAAGAGACAACATTTTCACAGTAAAATCCACTATATGAGTAAAAATGGTCTCATACTTGTATAGGGCTTTCCTATGCATCACAGCACACTCAAAGCACTTTCACACTATTTGCTTATTCACTCATTTGTAATCCCAAGCACACACACTGGTGATATCGCCGGGAGCAACCTGAGGTTCAGTGTCTTGCTCAAGGACACTTCAACATGTGGATTTCCGGTTAGGAGACGACCTGCTCTACCCCCTTAGCCACAGCTGCCCCAAAAGGTAACATAAGGATGACTTCTCTACAACTTCTCTCATATTGAACTTGAACTTCTAATGTGAAATGTACAGTATGCATAAGTATCAGAGATGAAAAAACCCCAGAGTGAAGTTATTTCATCATCAGTGAGCATAGTTTTGCATGGTTCTGTGTTTTCTCAGAAAGCAAACGGGAATAGTTCAGGCCTGGGAATAATAGCTGATAATACACCTGTGTTTTCTTTCCATGTCTCACACCAAGAGGTGTGATAACAATGAAGTACAGCAGTCTATCAGTTTTAATGCAGCTAGTGCTGGGTGAGGAAATGTTAACATTCAATGTCAAAATTACCACAATATCTTTACTCTTGATGATGAAATATAAACAGTTAAGTGTACAGTAGGATTACTCTCCTTTCTATCAGTATATGGCTGGGTGGAACCCAAAAACCACATTAAAAGAATATAGTTCAAGTTCCTGCTACAGTAAATCCTATTATTCTTGTAGAACTTCAGCCTTGAGATTAAACAGTGTCCTGTTTGCATTATTTACTTTCTCCTCCTGTTGGCTTCTCACTGAGAGTCTGAGACAGTGTCAGCTCTCCATTGTCTGGTGTCTGGGCCTCTCTGTGGGGCCGTTTTTTCAAAATCTTGCTGAAGAAACCACCTGACCTGCAGGGCAGAGAAAGACAAGAATCTCCAAAAGATATTCACACACCTTATTAAGTAAGTATAAGTGACTACAGAATGACTCGCGGCCCTGGGCTGATGCACAATGTCATCGTTCTCATTGCTGGTTTGTTTTGTGCTCTTAATTATGAATTATGTGGTTTTGAAAGTGCCACATATTCAAGGGCAACTCCAGCAGTGTCACCATAGCAACAGTGCAAATTAAAAACAAAGCAAGTGACTCAAATAAATTTAGTTATAATCGTGAAATTCCAGCTGTGAATGTGAGACGTCATACAATTTGACTATACAGGTTTTCCCATGAATCTGGTCAAGCACACATCTAGCTGGGTTAAGAGGAAAGTGAGAAGGATTTCCATCGCTTTAGTGTATTATTCTACAGAATATCTTTACTGGCACATTCTAAAGAGACAGATGCCTACTGGACACATTGTGCTGTGCTTCACCCATCTCAGTCTGCCTCCTTTTCAAATAAATATATGGGTCTCTTCTAGCTGCATCCCATCACCAGACCCTACATCCCCAGGTCAGTGCAGTGCAGTACCTGTCTGGTGTGGATGGGATGGAATGGGCTACGTCTTGGTGACCAGAACCATCTTGCTGTTTCTTTCTGGCGTAGGGTCCCTTTGAGCCGTCACCATGGCTTTCTGATGAGAAACTCTGCAGGAAAGGAGAAAAGAACCAACTGCTTTACAGGTGATGAAGCAGTTGCAGAAAAACTGGACAGATTTGAAAAAATCTTTTAAGTTGGTTTTTACAATTACAGTGCTAAAAGTGTATATCTGAACTTTTAAAACAAGACATTTTGCTTTAAAACACATTAACATATAAAACTACCTCTCTGGCTGATACAGTGGCAGCTCCTTCAGGACCTGAAGACAAACTGTCAACTGATGTTTCACTCCTGCCGATAGACAGAGAAATATAGATAAGATAAAACTCAATTTAGGAAAAAATAAATTCTAGTGTGTCTGCATGCACTACTGAGGGATTTCTTACACAAACAAAAACTTTGCCTGTTAGAAGACCAAGTTTGACTATTACTAATATTAATAATGTAAACTAGAGTAAAAAATGTTGACGTTTATTAGAAACAGAATATAATCGCATTTCAAAATCCTTTAATATCACTGCCTGGTGATATTCTATATTTGTTATTGTCAACAGTTGCCTGTTCTCAGTCCCAGTCCATTTGTTTCTACTGAAGATCTTAATCGTAAAAAACTAGAGCACAAACATGTATACTTTGGTTTTTATGAGCTCCATTATTTCCATTATCATTATCTGGGAACTGTCATTTTTAGCAAATCTTAAGCAAATAGGAGTAAACTGCACTTGTAGCACAAATGAGCTTTTACGGCAGCAGGATGACGTCTGTGGGATCAACTGAACATAAACTAGTTTCTATGTTGGTGTAAGAAGAACACGACACCCAGTGTTTTTAATAACTGGAGGTAGAGAGGCTTTATCAAGCTCTGGCTACACAGACAACAGCTGTTCTTAGGATATCACAAGACTTGTCCTCTAATATGAGTGTAGATCTCAGAACATCACCACGTACAGCTGTTGACTTTTTTCCCTTTCCTCCCTGTTATGAGGTGAAGGAGGGCTAGTGCTCTCAGAGTTTTCTCGCTCACTCTTCCTTGCCCTCCACTTCTCCGGTTTCTCCTTTATTGCCCCAGAACGGCGCTGCAGGTTCACTGCCCCTCCACCCTCCCCTAGGCCGTTTCTCTCAGGCACAGGGTCAACGGGATGCAGTGACAGTGTAGATGGACGAACAGGACTTGAAGCAGGAGGAGAGGTTTTGGCCTCCTTCCTGCTTCCCTTGTCTTCCTTCATTTTCCATGCCACAAAGGTATACTGGTCCAACTCCTTGCTGTCTGACCGCTCTTTTAGCTTAGAGGGCTCCTGGCTTTTGCTCTTCAGTGGGGGTGTTTGATCCTTGAGGATGCCTAAGGAGGAGGAGGAAGCAGCTCGTTCAGTCTCTCTCTGGTTGTGTTCCAGCCCTCTCTGTCTCCTCTGCTCTCTCTTCTCCTGGCTCTTGGAGGACTGGCTCCTGTTAAGACCAGGAGGTCGCACTGTCTTTTGTTCAGCATTGGAATGCGTGGAGGTAGTCCTGGGAGCCTCGTCATCTGGTGACTGACCTGGAGATGTGGGCATGAATGCGTTGGAGGTGAATCCATCAGAGGGCAGACCAGGTTTTGAATCTGATTGTCCTAGTGTTTGGTTTTTCAGCTGGGGTCCAGCCTCAGCCAGGGTACCATAAGTCTCCAAATCCAGTTCCTCATCTTCATCTTCTGCATACAAGCTCGTATCAACCTTTCTGTCCATCCCTCCTCTCTCTCCCTGTGTCTCGAGGACATGGAGGTTGTCATCCAGCATCTCTTCTGTGACCAGCTCTATATCTGGATCCTCCCTTGTTTGAGGCTCTCTTGCCAGTCTTTTCTCCTCTTCCTGTCTCTTTTTCCATGCTTTCCTGGCTGCCTCTTCTTTCTCTGCTCTCCTCCTTTCTTCCTCCTCTTGTGCCTTTCTCAATGCTTCTTCCATCCTTCTCCTGGCTTCCTCCTCCTCTACTTTTCTCCTTGCCTCTTCCTCCTGTTCCTTCCTCCTCCTTTCCTCCTCTTCTGCCCTTTCCAGAGCTTCTTTTTCTGCTTCCTCCTTTCTCTGTTTCTCCTCACGCATGGACTGGCACCTGCAACACACAAGACACATACACAACACTTGCTTTAGACCATACTTTTATTAAGTTATCTTACAAAATCAACTAAAGAGACAGCATCTCTGTGTTGTTACCTCCTGCGTGCTGAGTGGCCTCTGACCAGGGCTTGTATTTTGGTAGCACCGTGTCTTTGGCGGCAGTACACTGATCTTTGTCTGTGTCCTCTCCACACAGCCTGTATCAGAATGGCAGCACGTCGCCTTTGCTCCTTTTTGCAGTACCTACGCCATGAATGCTAACAGGGAGGAGAAATAATTTAAAAAGGACCAAAACAATGATAATTAATATACTGATGTTGACTGCCAAAAATATATATGCTGTGTCTGTGTTTACCTGGATCAAGATGGCTGCCCGTCTCATATCCAGAAATTCTTTCCTCTGCAAGCAAGCTCTGAACCAGCACTGAAGAAAAATGATCTTGTGCATGACATCCTCGTGCAGTGTGTCCTGCAGCTGCTGTCGCTCCAGCTCCTTCAAGAACACCTGAACAAAACAGAACACGGCAGAAGTTTCATGAACTGACATTCACAAACAAGTGCAGACAATAAGATGGGTTTGTAAGTGACAGGATATTTCATGTTGCACCTTAGTTTTGCCTATCTGATAAGTGGTGGGGTCTAGGCACATCTTCTTCTCAAGCAATGCTGAGATGTCCTCTTTACAGGCAGTGGCACTCTTTGGCAGCAGAACCCCAAACTGCTCTATGAACTCCTGCAGGGACAAGGAAACACGGATTATTCAAGAAACGCCATACAGTATATGTGGTAGTGGTGAGTGATCAAAACCTAATGCCCAGAATTAAACACTACACACCTTATATACAGTGATGTTATCATCAACAATTTTTATTACAGAGCATTAGGAATATCAATATCCCTGGAAACTGTGTTTTAAGATATTTATCTACAGATTGACAAAAACAGATGCAGGCAGCAACTATGAGCGATTATATTTTGACACTGTCTTCATGTGGGTCCCCAGTATCGATGTAGGTCACTGCATTGGCTTCAATTCATCAAACATCAGAATGAGTGCCCGGTGTGACATTATAATGGTGTGTCGTTATCACAGAGAAGAGGAGTGGAAGAGAGGAGTAGTAAAGAAAGTACCTGGAATGTGTACTTGGCTCCGTATCCTGACCTCCTGATACGAACCGTTTCTAGCATT